ACTATGGGGGAAACTGTCTGCCGTAGCGGGAGGGGGAGGGTTGGTTTGGGGGGTATGCTGGGGACATTGGTGGTGAAAAATGTGCACTGGTGGAGGAGTAATGGGTGTTCAATCATTGTATGACTGAAACTCAAATATGAAAGCTTTGTAATTGTATCTCATGGTAATTGAATAAAAAAAACCCTGCATAATTCATAGATTGCATTTTTCCATTGATTCTAATGAAAGTCTCCCTGCTGCTAACTGCTTTAAAAACAAGTGCCCTGAACTCCAAACGGGAAAGAGATAGAAACTTAAACTTCAGCCAGAAGAGAGTATTCACAGAGAGAAAGGCAACTGGCAAGTGTCCATTCCTTTGAGAAACAGGTATATTTTGCCAAAGAGGATTTTGCATTGATTTAATTGGAAGTTTAACTGTTTCTGGCATACAGAAACAAAAGGCTCTAGAGAAACAAGAGGTGCAAACTAGAACTTCTAGCAAAAGATACAACTCAAAGAGATAAATGATCCTCCCATAGGCCCCACTTACAGATTTCTCCTCTAAGAAAGCGGTATTTTTAACAGGTTGTGTATTCCCATTGATTCCAATGATTCCAAGAGTGTGTTCAGGGTGAGAAGTGCAAATGGTAAATGCCCCAATAGCATATGTAACTAAATGTGATTTCCCATTGATTTCAAGGGGAGTTTTACAGATTCAGGCATGTGGGAAGCCAAGAGCCCTCTCATAGACCCTGGCCGTGGTTCCCATGTTAGGAACTGCTTGGGACAGACATTGGTGACAGTCTCCCAGGGCTTCCTGACCTCAGTGGATGCCTGATCTATAGCCACATAACATCAGGCTGACAGTTATCTTATCTGGCCTTATCTATAGTAACCTCCAGGATGCATCTACTGCCTAAGACCCTTTGATATACAAATGTAAAGCTCAGGATACACCTACTGCCATAAGACCCTTTGATGTACAAATGTTTACCTTGAATATTAGGTAAAGCTCTTGTTGCTGACCTTACCATGTCTGGTTATATTGCTTCTGCTCCTGACTGGGCTGCCCCGACCCTATGTAAACAGCCTGTAGCCCCCAATAAAGTTCTGTCCCTTTTTCTCTTTGTTTCTAAACTGTACTGTCTCTTGTGTCTCGTGTTCATTCGGTTGGCCCCTCCTTGCACCATCGGATCAATCCTTGGGCCACCTCCACGGGCCGGAGAGTGGTTAGCGGGGCCCCCTGCACAGGCATACAGAAACAATGGGCCCTAACCCCAAAGAGAAAAGAGTTAGAATGGGAACTTCTTGAAAAAGATGCAGTTCAAGGAAGAAAAACATCTAACCGAGGCCCAAACTGAAACTTTCCTCTTGTATCAGATAACTGTGTTTTTAACAGACTGCATTTTAAAAATTGATTCCAATGGGAGTCTCACTGTTGCAAGTATTTAAAACAGGTGCCCTTAACTCCAGGGAAAAGTGAAAGAAAATTATAATTCTGCCATAAGACGGTATTCTGGGAGAAAAATGACAGGCAAGTGACCAAGTTGTACACCTTTCCTTCTCTGAGAAAATGGCATATTCAGTGGAATGCAGTAACCCAGTGATTTCAACAGCAGAGTCACTGTTTCTGGCATATAGAAACAAAGGCTCCTAACTCAAAAGAAATAAGAATTTCATGTAAAAGATACAGTTCAAGGATCCTTATAGCTTTCTTCTTGTCTCAAATAACTATGTTTTTAACAGAATGCCATTTTAAAAAAGATTCCAAAGGGAGTTTCACTGCTGCTTAGTATTTAAAACAAGTACCCTTAACTCCATAGGGGAAAGAGCTAGAAAAATGAACTTCTGCCAAGGAGGGCATTCATAGGGAGAAAGGTGACTGAAAAATGTACAAACTGTCCATCTTTTCTTCTTTGGGAAACTGCCATATTTTAGCAATTGCAGTTACTCATTGATTTCCACTGGAGTTTCACCCTTTCTGGCATATAGAAACAAAGGACCCAACTCTAAAGAGAAAAGAGGTACAAACTGGTACTTCTTGCAAAAGATGCAGTTCAAGGAGATGAAGAGTCCAGCAAAAGCTCCAACTTGTAGGTTTCTTTTTATTTCAGAAATTTGTGTTTTAACAGTGTTTTCCCTTTGATTCCAAAGAGAGTCTCAGTGCTCAAGGGGGTTTAGAAACAAGTGTCCATAACTCCACATACATAGAAAGTTAAACTGCCACAAGAGATGACTGGTAAGTGCCCCACTTGTACATCTTTTCTTCTCTAAAACAGCAGCATATTTAGCCAAATGCAGTTTTCCATTGATTTCAATGTGAGATTCAGTTTCAATCATATGGAACCAAAGGCCCCTAACTCCAAAGACGTACAAACTGCACCTTCTTGCAAATGATGCAGTTCATGTAGATAAAAGGATTCTCCCAAAACCCAGCTTGTAGCTTTCTCTCAGAAAACTGGGTTTTTAACAGATGGCAGTTTCTCACTGATTCTAATGGGAATTTCACTGCTCCTCGTACCTCAGTGACCTGGAGCTGTCCAGTGTATCATCTATATCCTGGGGGTCAGTAGCCCCTTCCAGCTCAGAACTGTCATTTTTGTTCAGGCATCAGCCTTGGCAGGACCTGAAAAGGCCTTGACTTGTTTCTTTGTTCGCCAGGGCCTTGGCAACAATAAAACTGAAACTCTAGGGGAACTGGGACCAGCGTGAGCCTCAGGTCATGCTCATGTGTCAGATGTTTGGCAAAACTTGCATCCACAGGCATGAACCCTTAACATGGTTTGTTCACTGTGACACAAAATTGATTACATATCAGAGCACATAGAGCTGAAAGCTCTTAGTGTTAAAAAGGGGTTAGGAAGGATGAACAGGGATGAACATGCACTGCCTGACATTTTTTTTATTCTTTGATCTCAAGAGTTTACTCCTGGCTCTGCACTAAGGGATCACTTCTGCCAGGGTTCAGGGGACCATATAATGTCCCAGGGATCAAACCTGGGTTGGCCATGTTCTCTCTTGCTCTCCTTGACATATTAAATCTCTTTCCCAGCCTCAGTTCTCAGTTTTTGAAACAATGGCTCCTAAACATTCCAGGGTGCTATGCTTTGATTGGGGGATTCAGATGCTCCTTTTCCCTTCCCTCTGTATTTATATACCCCCAAAATCACATTTTAAAAAAGTGTTGACCAGCTGAAAAAGTCAGCATACACTCAAATATTTGTTCAAAAAAATTTTCTCCTGAAGGAAAAATAATCAGGCCAGGAGTTTTATACTCTGAAGAGTACACCCCAACCAGCATACTCAAAAAAATTAGATTTTGTTCCGGCCAATGATATCTCTAACGGAAAATGTTCACTTCAATGTGAGTTTCAAAGTTCAGGGTGTTTCCCTTTCCCCTTAATGACAGATTATAAGACTTTTATCACCCATTCAAGCATTGTGAAATGTCCAATCATAGCTGGTTCAGCATTAACAAGGCTACTTTCCTGGCTGTCCATGAGGAGCTCAGGGCCTGCTAGGCACCAGTTATGGACTTGAGGGCAGGAATCTTGAATTTTCTGCAGATCCAGGTTTTCTAGATGATGAGCTATCAAGCGCCAGGCCTCTGATGGCTCTCCTGTGCCTTCTGGGGTATGTGCCGCAGAGACAGCATCTCTCCATAACGCTCAGATCAAGTAAGGCCAGTGGGGAAGTTAGGAATCAATTCGAAGCTATGACAAGCTGACCCATCCTGCCTCTTCCCAGCCGGCACCTCTGCCTGCCCATACCCACCACTCACCATTCTGGGCTCCAGCCAGAGCCTTCTTTTCCTGAGAGCTGAATGGGAGAAAGTCAGGGAAGTCTCTGGAATGATGCAAGTCACTGCTCAAGCTGACATGTGAGCAAGGAACCGTTCCCTCAGCCTCCCGGAGCCTTGGTGAAGTCAGGGCACAGGGTTGAAGCAAGGCCTTCACGTGGTGCTACAGCTGACCAGTGTGGTCCCTGCCTGTGGCAGGGGAAAGGCACAGCAGCTGAGCTCCTCAGGCTGTGCTCGGCTCTGTCCTGGACTGACCCTCAGTCAAAGCCCCATTTCTTAGAGAACTTGGTGTAAGGGCTTGGAGGCAATGTCAGATGAATTCTGTGTGTCTGTGTGTATGTGTGCGTGTGTGCGCGCGCACGCGCACTCCTAAGTCTTCACTGTAAAGTGGTCTGGGGCATATGCAGGCAGGCAGACACTTCCTTTTGTCTGGCACAGTCGGAGAATGCGGAGGTGTGGGGAGATTGAGGCACAAAAATTTGCTTCAAGCAAGGGGAGAGTATGAAAGTCAGTCAGGCCTGTCGGCTCCGCAGCCATTTACCTTCCCTGTGGAGAGGAAGTACTGGCCGAACAGTGAGCTGAGTCGTACTTTGGAATGAGAAGACTATGTACTTTCAAGGAAGTGTTCACGTATTTCTTCTGTGCTTGCTTTTCATCCGCACGCACATCCTTCTCCACTGCAGCACCAGTTAAACCAACACTATTTGCAACACTAGTTGCACCTCATTTTTCGGTGCAACCTATGGTATTTTCAGATTCCAAGTCTAAGAAAATGAAGATATATTGGAATTGAGGGCTTACCGTTAGTTAGAAAGCAGTATTTCACCAAAGACCTTTAAATCAATAAAGCACACTGCAGCTCCCCCCCCCCCCCCCCGATTTGGGACACTGCCCCTCAATATGTTGATAGGGATGGGATGGGTGCTGCTTCAGAATCCTGGCTAAGACATGAGGAGAGGCCCTCCAAAGCAGGAACCCGATACAGAATGCTGAGAAATACGCAGCCCACAGGCACCAATGCCGCGTGTGGAGTCTTTCCTGCTTGGCTATCACTTCAACAGACTGAACGATCACTGCGTGAGTATTTCTAGGATGTTGACATTAAAAACCAGTTCCCCCTGAGTTTTGGGAGGTTATTACACGCTCAGGAACCATCATGAGGGCAGGTAAGTTGATCACCCAATCTAAAACTCACAAAAATAAAAGGAAAAAACAAAAGGAATGTTCTGCAATGTGCATTTTATTTCATATCATTATACAATGTTCAGATATCGTCATAACTCTTAAGAAAATGTTTCTTTACCAATTACATGTAGTGCCTTGGACTTTAAACATGGAGAAACGAAGGGTGGAGATCTACTTCCAATGCTACCCTACGAGTCGTGAGGAACAAGTGTGCCAGTGGTGAGGAATGGATGTCTAGGAAGAGCAGTGTGGTGTGCAAACCCTTTGCTTTACTGGACTCGGGCATACAGGATCCACAGACTCGTCTTGCATAGAACTCAAAGACAAAATAAATTAGTGTTGGACAGAATTCTAAATTGGACACTATTGAACAAAAAGACCCCAGGGGGACCTTTGGTTGAAGTAGCACCAATCCACACCTGATTGTCTTTCCAATATTCACCTTCTGGCTGGCCATGCTGTTGGCACTTTGCGTGGGACATTTCCTGTGCCAGGGAGGGGTTCACACTGAGCACTCTGCATCGCTACAACTCGCTAGGGGTGACGGCAACGGCATTGTCCGCCCGGGAAATGGCACAATGGAATCGTCCTGGGCCTGCCCGTGTGAGAGGTGTTTCCCTTGCCCCTTGGGGAGGCTCTGTGACAGTGGTTTAAAGTAAATAAAAATGCACTGAAGGGGGTTCATGAAGTAGGTGTCTCATAATCAAACAAACAACAATGAAAGAAAACAAAATCAAACACGACATGAAAGCATGTGGCCGCAGCTAAGGAGGTGTTCACATGTTGTTTAACTCCAGTAAAGTCTGATCCAGCATCTGATGCATGCTAAGGTTTTCTTCCTTGGCATGGGCCACTTTCTCTGTGGTGGGATTAGAAAATTAGGTCATGAATAGCTGTGCTTTGGACACAATGGCGGTCTGTACATTCAGGCAGGCAAACATCAATCACAAACACAGGAGGAGATGATTAGAACATGCTGTAGACACCGGTCATTTCCCTGAACCCGTGAAGGGAGAGGATGCTGTGCCAGGAGGCTCTGTGGACACAGCAGGGTTGGAGTGGATGGGGCAGGGGGCTGCTGTTTCCAGAAATCCATCCTGATGACACAATGCAGGGGGCAGGGCTGGGTGAGGGTCGAGTCAGGTGCCAGGGACACAGGAGCCCTGAAGTGGGGCTCTAAGCATAGGCGTTGTAAGGAGCAGAAGTTCCAATTCCGGGAGTCGCGCTGTAGCGCACACGCAACCTCACCGGAAACGATCAGAAATGATTTAGTCCCGTAGCTTGCTGGGAGAGACAAAGGGATCATGTTTCATGCACACTTCAGTAGGACATTCTCTTACTACTCTTGGAGCATTCTATTATTAGCACGGCACTCTCACAGATTCCAACACAGGCTCGGAGGGGGAAAAGCATACCTTCCAATCAGGGCCTTCGGACAAAAGCGCCTGCTTTCCAGAGCTATTTTGCCCAAGCATAAGTGCATTTATTCATTTTTCAAACACTATCAGAAATGATTAGGAATATGTATACACAATAGTTTATTATATATTATATATAATGCATCCTATATACTCTATATGAGCATGTATATATTTGTAGTCGTACACACATTCACCCTTTTACTTTACCTTGCTAACTTAAAGCCAGACTCAGCTTTCGGCAGAATTAGAAAACGATTTTTGGGTTCCCATTATTCATTATTCACCACTTCAAACTCAAATAACAAGGACCTACTATCGCAAAGAGGAGAGCTGGAGGGCATGTCCTAAAAATCCCCCCAAAACATGGATACACATTATACTGCAAAAGCCTTTTGGAAATGGAAGAGAATGTGGTCATTCCAGACACGACAGGAGAGAAGGCAGGCAGTGCTGTCCCCCACCAGTTTCCCCACGCCGATGTTTCTGCAGAAAGCTGCTGTGCTCAACCCTAGTAAAAGAGTGCAACGGCAGGCTGAGGTGACCTCCCAGGGCTCCATTCCCAGAATTCAGCCCAAGTTCTTTCCCATTTAGGATTAGTCCTCATTCAGGGCCAGCTTTAGTTGGTTAGTGAGGCGGCGGTTTTGCTCAAGTTGCTGGTAGAGTTGATCTGTACAGGTCAGCGAGCAGGTTAGCAGAAGAGAAGAGGCAGAAGGGAGAGAGTTAGGCAGGTGTGGCAGAAGGAGCTGATAGTGACAGTTAGGGCGATGGTCCCGGCCCAGCAGCTGACCTTCCCACTTGGCCAACTGGCTGTGCGCAGGACGGGCTTCCTCATAGACAAGGGGAGGAAACAAGGGCCTTGGGGATGGGCATGGGTGGAGTATGGGGGGTGTTCTGCTGGCTCTTGCTAAAGTCACCCTGCGAGCTCAGCTGCAGGCGCAGCCCCAGGCACCTAAGGGGAGCCAGCACTCGCCATTCTGCCTGGGCTCAGTGGAGTTCTTACAGGGGAACCTTGATCTGACCATTCCTCCCACTTCCCAGGGCCCTGCTACCACCCACCCCCCACCAAGTGCCTTCTTCTTAAGGGCCAAGATCACAACTCCGGATCTTGTTAGCTGTGGTGGTGCTGGGTGGTGTGTGTCCAAGTGATGGCGGGGATGGAACCTAGACCTGGAACCCACCTGGTACATATGAGGCCTGGGCTTGGCTGCTTGAGTCACATCCCCGGCCCCTGCAGTAAAATTTTTTGAAATGTAGAACTCTGTCCTTTCCCCCATCACCTGGCAAATTCAGAACTTGCAGGCGGCTCTGTTGCAGGCTGTTACCCTGCTCCGATGGCAGAGCATCAGCATGTCTTGCCACCTTGAACCCATTTAGGGCTGGGATGTGGCTCCGTGGAAGAATGCACATCTCACATGCCTCGGGCCCTGGGTCCAGTCCCTGTACACTCATTACACACACACTTTGGGTTTATCTGCTGGCTTTAAGGTTGGGGGCAATCCCAAGGCATTCAGGAATAACTCCTAGTGGGGGTTTGGGGACCATATTGGGTGCTGAGGATCAAACTGGGTTGACCGCAAGTGAGACCAGGGCCCTACCCATTGTACTATCACTCTGGCCTTTGCTGGCTTCTAGAGAGGAATGTGACTCATGTTTGCTGCCAAATGTCTATAAAGTGAACAAAATCTTGTGTCTCTACGTGGAGACGAGGGTGACCAATTTTATATCCTGGAATTTTTTCCAAGGCTTAAAAGCCAAAGGGAAGAGTCTGGTCTGTACCTGATGGTTCAGGAAACACTTAATGACCAGGAGGAGCTGGAGGAGACCTAAGTGCCTTGAGTGACTGAATGATGCAGGTAGTCTTGTTCTAGAAGTTCTACTTGGTGCTCTGGAGGCACTCATAATCCTACTCTGCAAAGGACTCAGTCACTGGCCCAGGAGTACCAGGAAACAGGTCTTTTCTTTCCCAGGTGGAAGAGGACAGCAAGATGCTATGGCTACTATGGCTTCTAGTTTGAGACATCTGCTGTCTGGTTTGCTCTGCTCCTTTCTTTGGATCACTTCAAACCCTGGTCAAAAGTATCTCTTAGTCAGAACTTATCCTTGTGGGACCCCGCAGCTACCAGCTTCAACCTGCTTCCTTCCTCCACTCCCCACTCCACAGCTGCTTCAAGTTATCATCTCTGCACCTCTTCATGTCTCCACCCCTGCTGGAGCCTGGCCTGTGGCACAGGCAAGATGCACAGACAAACCTGTCACTGTAGTTTCACCATGACGTGGGGGTACGTGGGGAATTATGGGCAGAACAGAATGAAAGGGATTGGGCCAAACCCTGGAGAACGCACCAAGTCAGTGCATGTCAGCTTCCTCACAGCTCCCTGTCAGACACTGCCACCCCCCCCCCCCCCCCCCATCACACTGTCCTTAAGGCATGCCTAGGTGCGGGCGGGGTGGAGGGGTGTGAAGGGTGGCTAGACTCAATGATGCTAGTGTTTAGGGCTTTCCATGGTATCAGTGACTCCCTGGCTTCTGAGTTAAAAGCCTGGGCTCTGGTGATTTCTTGGAGCACTGTCTGGGATTATTCCAGACTTGCTTTCTTAGGGTAAGTTTCCCTGATAGAACAACTGTATTGTATGGCAAGTGTAAAAGGCTCGAGAAGGATTTGCAAAGAACAGATTTGTATCCAGAATCATCTGAACATCTGCTCAACAGAACTTTCAGGCTTGTCATTTTTTTTCTATAGGAGGGGACAGGGTTTACTCAGGTGGATTCACTTTTGCCGCCTTAGGTTTAAAACAGAGTAAGGCAGAAATCATAGTCAAAGCAGCATCCCCCCTGGGAGCCTTGGAATAAGAAAAGCATAAAGCTAAGCAAAGCATGAAATTATGAAATTCTTTATATGCTCAAAAGAGAGACATTGCCTAGGTCTAAATTTAAGAAACCTACAATTCCATCAACAAAATACTTTAATCCACTACCCTCTTAAAAAGAGTATCTCTCCTCTGGTCTGGCACAGTTGGAGACTAACTGAAATTTTCATTGTATCCAAATTTGAGTAACCCTCTAATAAAAACTACACACACACACACACACACACACAAGACACACAACTCCCACGATTAAGACACAGAAGAAATATAGCCAGATTGTCCAGGAAGGAGAAACGATAGGAACTAGGAGTCAACATTCCATGTCATTAAAAAAGTTGTACTATGGCACTGTGTTCTATTTAATCACTGAATTGCTGTTCCTGGAGTGGAAAAAAAAGTGAGGCCCACATAAAACAAGAGTCTCCTGAACAATTCCTATCAATTTTAGGGAAAAGAAACAATGGAGTCAAATGGCTCAATTGTTAAGAAGCCACAACTAAAACAATCAGCTATTAACACAAAGATGATGTATATACAACAATCAACTTGGACTTCAACATGGTCACTGGGATCACAACAAAATGAAAGTGGTTGAGGGTGATGAATGAGCTGGGACTGTCCTTCGTGTGCTATGTTCAACGATAACTTCAGCTGACATGGCTGAATCCAAGTTCTTTTTCACTTTGCCCAGAATGTGAAGTGTTAGCATTGTGGGCTGGCTATAGGCCTTTCTCAATAGCCTTCTCTCTAGGTGAGCCACAGGCAGAGCAAAAGATCAGTGCGAAGGGGTCGGCCCACCCCCGATAAAATTGGTAGAGAAAAATGATGCTTAAGGTTTCGACCCCAAGCAATGTTCCATTGCAGAGGTTCTCAAGCAGAACACATCCAGTGCAATCTCAGCGGGCAAAAGAAAAAGCCCAGGCCACACACCCTAAGCTTGGGTACCGAGAACTCTGAATCCCACTAGAACTGCTTTAGAAACTCTTGCAATCAGTGCATGATGTTCAGAATAAAAATAAATAAATAAATAAATAAATAAAAACAAGCAGCAGCAAAAAATAAACTTTCATGTGCAGGAAGCAGATTTGTACTCAGTGTTGAAACGAAAATGACAACAAGAAGTAAAAAGAGTAGCAAACAGAAATAGCTTACACAGTATTTATTTTACACTGAATTACGAGCTTCTGTACAATAGAGAGCACAGTGTGTGCCTGGCCCTGAGCAGGTAGGACTCGAGAAGAAAAGATCAGGGCCAGCTGGAGAACAGACAAACTGCAGAGTGCAGAGAGGCAGGCATCCAGCTCGACGGAGGGGGTCTTGGGAGAAGTGAAGCAAAGAAACTTATCTGCATGGAGAGAAAAGGTGGGAGAAGGGGAGGGGGGAAATGGCACAATGAAAAGATGGAAGTGCAGAGGGACAGATGAAAGCAGCTGGGGCATAGCGGAGAAGCAGACACAGACGTCTGAGGGCAGCCCCTGTGGTCAGTCTGCCCACCAGAGCCCAGAGCGACCCATGGACACAAGTCAGAATTTCACAGCATAAGCCAAAACTATCTCTTAGAACATTTCATCACAATCCATCCCTGATGTTAAATCTTCCCAGAGTTATTTTAGCACTGTTAGAGTGCTAACACGTGAAGTCCTTAGAGACAGGTGCCCTGCTCCTACCCCCGCACTGACAGGGAAGACATGTGGACACTTCTCTGGTTGCAGGATGGTATCATGTCTCTAAGGTAATGTGGGGATTCCACAACCCATGTTGTTGGGCACAGGTTGCTTCTGCCACTTTTCGGGGAGGGGGGGAAGGGGAGGTGGAGTTGGGGGCAGGGAGTGCCAGGGATGGAGCCTCACACCGATAGGGTGTCTGAGCCACATCCCAGGACTCACACCACACTTCTGCAGCTGTGACTTTTCTGCCTGGTCAAGGTTTATTTTCCAGGTGGGCCCGGAAAAGAAACTTTCCAGCTTCTATGGAATGCGTGTGATATTGTTAGAATGAAGAGAGGCCCCCCCATAGAACATTCTGGATTAGAAATTAGAGGCAGAATCAGCTTCATGTTTAGGCCTGGTTAGTAGCAGCAGGTAGACTGTTGTGTCTGTTCAAGATTCTTCTAAGAACAAGACATTGTCACTCCTGCACTCACAACAGTACAAGCTGGGTCAAGAACGCCCAGACTCTGATCTAGTCTATTTCAGTTCCCATTTCTTCCAGTGTTTATCCAGTGGGAGCTGTTCTTTTATCTCCTTTTATGCAAATACAGGTGAGCCAAGCTTGGTTACTCTTCAACAAACCCCAGTGGGTCTGAAGAATTCCTCAAAGTGAGGGGGAGATTACCTGACACAGCACTATTCTTTTAGTTCTCATTTGTTTTGGGACCACACCAGGTGATGCACAGGAGTTACTCCTGGCTCTGCACTCAGGAATCATTCCTGGTGGTGCTCAGGGGACTACATAGGATGCCAGAGATAGAAACCTGGCTAACCATCTGCAAGGCAGTAGCCTTACCAGCTGTACTATCGCTCTGCACCCCTCAAAACCAGTTTTTCAGTCTGTATTGGATCAAGGTTCTTTCCCTCAGATCCTTACAAACTTTAGGGTTCCTTAAATTTAACCTTTTTTTTTTTAAAGGACCACATTGTATACAATATAGTTGCAAAAACTAGATTGTTGGGCATTTTCTTTTTTTTTTGGGGGGAGGGGTGGTGTTTCTAGACAACTGCATGGCCTCCTAAGGTTCACTTGAGTCAGGTTTATTAAAGAACAGTGCTCAAAAAGGCATTCAGATTCTGGCGCATGGCTTGCTGGGAACAAGCACATAGAGACGGTGGAATTAACGCACTCTGAAAGGACCATGTAGAAACAGACTTCACCTAGTGGCCATCGTAATGGGAGGATGTGAACAAACATGGACTACCCTAGAGGACACAAAAGAGGCAACCCTAGAGGATACAAAAGAGGCAACAGAAAGGCAGAAAGACGGACTCTGGAGGGAGCAGCGGCGAGGCTAGAGGTTACTGCGTGAGCATGAGGCGGGCGCATGAGCAGGCGGGCGGGTGGACATTTACATGGAAGTCATGTCGTTGAGAGCGTGGTCCAGCTCCTCGCTGATGGCTTTGTACTTCAGTTTCTGAGCGTACAGCTCGTCTATGAGCAGGAAGTGGGAGGCAGACAGGCAAGGGCATGGAGAGAGACCAAGAGATGGAGGGTGAGTGGGGGTGGCCGGGCGCCGCCCCGGACAACAGCGAGAGAGGGCAATGCGTGGAGGAAGTGGAATCGCAGCAGGTGGCCCGTGCAGGAGGCGTGCGTTTTGTTTTCAAATGAATCGAAACAAAAAGAGACAAAACCCATTAGAAAATAAAACAGGAAGGCCATGAAAACCATAACAAACATGGTGGGACTACAGCGAATGTTATGCCCTAAACAAAAACCACACAGGCCGTCTTGTGAACAGGCCGTCAACAGCTTTTCTTTCAGAGCTACATTCTAATTACCGAGAAGGAGCCAGCCACATGTACCTGTAAACAGTGGGAAAAACACCCAAAGGCAGTGTTTTGGAAGAACACCTGACGATGATCTATAATCCTTATCTGGCTCTCCTGTCAAGCCACCAATATCCCAGCCAAACGAGGGACCCTGGGATGTCAGTTTCCTGATTACATTTCAATGACTCCTGCATCTGCCGGCCCCAGCTGCCCTGTTACTGGTTGGGAAGCTGGAAAAGCAGGAGACCTACACTTTAGACAGTGTTAGGTCGTGTTACTGGGCCAATTCAGAAGTTACCAAGTGTGGCCACCCTGGGGCTGATGGCCTTGCAACCATCTTTATCTTTTCCCCAGCTTGATTTGCCTCTGCACTGCCCTCCTGACCCTTCTCGAGGTCCTTCCGTCTTTGACATCTACAGTTAATGCATTCCCCCCCCCCCCCCCCCTTTTCTTTCCCACAGTTTGGAAGTCTCACAGATTTCATGGTTTAGGATTTCTGGGAGATGAAATAAGTGTTTTCAAAACCTCATTAGAAGAGGGGGAAAATGCTCGAGTATAATCTCAAAATGTCTCGCTCTATTAGTCCCTTCCTCCCTCTCTCAGGATCTGGAACATTTGCTTATATAATAAAAGAACCCAACTCTCGCACTGAATCCACAATTCAATGAGGAGAGGTTTGTCTGAAAACAAACCCACAGCATTGGGACAATTAGACGCTATTATCAAGACAGAAACGCTATGGCTGGCCGTTTCTTCCAGAAAGAAAAATAAACCCACTGCATCTCAGCAGGGTGTAAGGCAAAGTTGAGGGCTGGAAGGAAGGGGACAAACCCTAGCACTAGCTGACAGGAGCTCGGCCTGGGAGCCGTGATGAAGGCCCCCTGGGAGGGCCAGGAAGAAAGAGCAGGAGCAGAGGGGAATGACCCAGCTCCCGGTGGGAGAACCATTCTGCTGGGTCAGCGCTCGGTCACAAGGCTGAGATGAGGTACAAAATCTAAGATCTTACCTTCTAAGTCATCAATGCTTTTCTCCAACTTAGTTACTGACCGCTCTGCGAACTCAGCCCGGGTCTCAGCCTAGAACAAGTCAATGCATTCCCATCAGCAAAGGAAAGCTTTGGGCTGAAAGCTTTGGCGGGGAAATGCAGGTGGCACATCTGGCACAGCAGTGCCCAGCAAATGCGCCTGAAATACCTTGTCTCGACAGGGAGTCACGGCTGCTTCTGACCCACCTCTGCACACCCCTGACTTGGAGTCCCCTCACTTAGAAACGAAAAGGCCTGAACCAGCAGCCCCAGACAAAAATACTTGTTTAAAATCCACCTGGTGGCAGGGCTGGAGCAATAGCACTGTGGGTAGGGCGTTTGCCTTGCACACAGCCAACCCGGGTTCGATTCCCAGCATCCCATACAGTCCCCTGAGTACTGCCGGGGTAATTCCTGAGTGCAGAACCAGGAGTAGCCCCTGTGCATCGCCAGGTGTGACCCAAGAATCAACAACAAAAAAAATAAATAAATAAAAAATAAAATCCACCTGGCGGGGCTGGAAAGATAGTACAGCTGGTAGGGCACTTGCCTTGCATGCATGCATGAAGCGGACTAGGACTCAATCCCCAGTACCCCATATGGTCCCCTGACCCCCGCCAGGAGTAATTCCTGAGCACAGAGCCAGGAAGCCTTGAACACCTCCCAGGTACGGCCCCAAAACCAAAAATCTTAATCCACCAGGCTTTGGCACAAGCCTCGGAACATTACCTCCTTCAGCTTGTCGGAAAGGGCCTTGATCTCTTCCTCGTATTTGTCTTCCTTCTGTGAGTACTGTAATCAGAAAGAACATTCCAGATGTCAGGCTGCACCTCACACTATACTCCTGTCTCGGATAGGATGAGCGCCAGCCAGGCCAGCAGATGCTGAGGGTCCCTCAGGAGGTAATGGAGACTCAGCTATCAAGTGGCATACGGCAATACACTCTGCTTTCTTGCCTATTGCTTTACATGGGCCAAAAACAGATCACTTATTCATCGGCAGTCGGCTTAAACTGTAGAGGACTTAAGAGACTCAACACAGAGTCTCTTCTGAAAAAAGAAAAAAAAATCTGGCTAAAGACGTAGCTCAGTGGTAGACCACTTGCCTGGAATGTGAGGTCCCCTTGAGTGAATTCTAAGCCAGCCCCCACCCCCACCCTCGCCTCCGAATCAACCAAAGGGTGAGGGAGATAGCGCCCAGAGGCTCATGCAAGATTAGACCTTGCTGGGTGTGGCTCCCCAAAGCCCACAACTGTTGCCCACAACTACCCGGGAAGCACCTAGAACTTATGCCATTTACTACAAGCTCATTGCCAGGGGCTCAGAGCAGAAACAGTCTCTTCTGCACAGCTTGAGAGGTCCCTGACCCCGCGCCTACCTTCTCGGCTTGAGCCTCCAGGGACTTTAGGTTGTTGGTCACAGTTTTCAATTCTTCTTCAAGCTCGGCACATTTGCTAATGTTTCCGATCAGAGGCAGAAAAAGGGAGGGAGACAAGCCAAAGGGAGGAGAGAAAAAAGGAGAGGGATGGGGAAAAAAATGAGAATCGAGTCCCAGAGCACAAAGGGCTGCCTTAAAGGAGCCAAATCATCAGGGATTGAGACGCTTGCGGTCGCCGTGGACACTGCACCCCCCTTGCTCCTTACAACAGCAGAAAAACGGGGTGACAAAAATCCAAACTCGGGAGAATGATCATTTGGCTTCTTTTTCAGCTGCCATCAAAGAGTGCTTATGAGGGAAAAACAAAGGAGTATAAAAGGCCCAAAGAAAGCACTAAAGGCAGAGACGTGAGAGAGCAGAGGGTCAGTGAGGGCGTAGTCTTCACAGCAAATGGACCAGGATGCAGTGGAAGCTGAAAGCCGCCAGGGAGCGTTAACCCTAGAAACCATCCACGAGCCATCAGTACCTTGTCCTCGGCAGCCATTAATGCTTTCAAGGTCTGATCCATTATTCTTAGCTGCTCTTCCAGCTGTCGAACTTGGCTGTTAGTGGACACAGGAAATGCACAAGGCCATTCTCAAAATCAGTGTGCAGGTGAGGCATGCAGAGACCTACGCATTCACACACAGACAACCCCACACAAGGCCTCTGTGTGCCAGACTGGTGGGGCTGATCCACATCAAATGGGCACATCGGGAGCCCGGAGCAGAAACAGGTACGTGTGCAGCTGCCAGAGGGTCATGCTGTTCAGTCACGGCTGCAGTGCCCCCACATGGCCTCCTGGACTTGGCCTGCTTACCCTTCTGAGAGCTCGGCCCGCTCCTCCGCGCGCTCCAGGTCACTCTCAATAATGACCAGCTTCCGGGCCACCTGCAGCAGGACGAGCACAAGACAAGCACACCATGGGGCTTGCATGTGGTAGTGGTGGGTGGGGTGGGGAGCGGGAGAGGCGGGCACAGTTCCTGGTGCCCAACAAGCGAGTGCCCTTTCTGGCCGACGGCACAAATGCCTCCTTCACTGAAGAGGCAGGCAGAGAGCAGGGCACTGTGACACCACAGAGACCCGGACGCCCAGGTGTGGGTGCAGACTTATTTTTGGTCTGCCCCATGTCTGTGCCATGACACAGCCGAGTGCGGGCAGCGGGAGAACTGGGGGATTCACAACCTCGGAGAAAGTAGCGGTGCAGCGAGACCCGGGGCTGCAGAGGTGAGCATGGCCCTGAACATACTGAGAATGACTCCCAGGAGCTGCATCAGTACAAGCTCTGCAGCCTGGCCACCTCTGCTGGGAAGTGGCTCACTGTGCCATTGCAAACAGCAGGACAAATGCAGCCGGGTCTGCATGGAGAGGGCATGGAGCCACTGGGAGAAGTGGCTGCAAAGAAGAAAAACAGGAGCTCTGGCCAGCCGAGGGAAGGGGCTCCCGGGCATGCGCCTGCAGGACTCACGAGGCGGCAGCTTGCCACTCCTGCGTGGGTGTACCCCCACTGCCTCACTGCTAACCCCAAAAGACTGGTGAGTGTAAGGGGGGGGGGTGGGCAGCTGGTGCGAAGACTCCCTCTCTGGCCCTGGCCCCCTTCCCCAGCCCCCGGTAGCTGTTCCGCTGCTGGTGACCCACACGAGGCCAGGCCACTCCACAGACATTCAGGTCTCACTCTACCTTCCCCTGGCCCAGGGTCTCTGTTCTGACCGCCAGGCTTTTCCAGGGCTACCAAAAGGTGTTAGGAAACCCTGGCAAAATCCGAACCAAACCCATGTTTGGAGGACAAGCACATCCCACTTCTCAGAAGCACCCGCATCTGCCCAGGTGGCCGAGCGCCCTGGCCGCCCACATCGCCCAACACCATCCCGGACCTCACCTCTTCATACTTGCGGTCAGCATCCTCAGCAATGTGCTTGGCCTCTTTCAGCTGGATCTCCTGAATTTCCATTTTCTCCTCATCTTTTTGGGCTCGGCTTTCAATGACTTTCATGCCTCTGAAAAGCAAGAGTGGGAAATCCCAGAGTATGGCTGAGAGGTGGCCTCTCCGTCCCTCCCCACACCCATGTGTGGGGCCCAGGGAACTGCAGAGCGGCTGGCGGAGCACAGAGCCACTCTCAGCCCCTCAACCCAAAGCAGGGCTGCCCAGAGCAGAGGCATAGAAACACAGTCTCTGGGGTGCTGAATGAACTCGTGCAATTCCTCCCAGAGGCTCATGGGAAGGAAAAGGGCACGGGGTCAGGAGACCAGCCGGCTTCACTTATGCAGCAATGGGGTCTCATTCCTTTCCTGATGGGAAGTGCCACCATGAAAAAGGATCCACATGAGTACAAAAGCAAATGGACTCTCCTGCATCTCTCTTCTTTCCTGCAGAGAAGGCAGCCACACATGCCAACACCAGTCTGAATCTTATCCAACTGCTGGCACTGGGCCACAGTACCTTGAAAAACAGCAAATTCATGTGGCAGAGAAGAAATTGCACCTGCCTTTAAGAAAGCTCTTCCATGGCACATGTGCCGGGGGCAGGGCCGACAATTTCTTCTGCATGGCCAATGCAGAGGCCTATGGTATGGTGCTATGCTTCCAAAAATGTTAAAGTACAAGACTTATGGATTAACCAGGCACGTTAAAATGGGATGCACGATCTGAGTGGTGAGATCAACAGGCCATTGATTATTTTAGGTTCCACAGTATTTTTTTAGGGGGCTTGAGTTCTAGTCTTGGGTTGGCTGTCAAGTCGCTGAGACTCTGCCTCTGCAACTATGAAACCAGGGGAGTGGAGCAAATCATCTCTGAATTTCCTATAATTACATTGTCTAACATTAGCAAGGCTTTTTTTTTTCTTTTTCTTTTTCTCTTTTTCTTTTCTTTTTTTTTTTTTCTTTTCTTTTCTTTTTTTCCACCTGGCGATTCACAGGGGTTTCTCCTGGCTCTGCACTCAGGAATTACCCCTGGCGGTGCTCAGGGGAGACCATATGGGATGCTGGGAATTGAACCCGGGTCAGCCGCGTGCAAGGCAAACGCCCTACCCGCTGTGCTATTGCTCCAGCCCCAGCAAGGCTACTTTTTAGGTTCCCTGACAAGTGTATTTCAGGAAGAAGCCAGCCATAAAGCCACCGGAACATGTGGACTGGAGGTGATGAGTCACCATGCAAAATTTCAAATCCCTTGGTTAGAAGTGAAACGATAAGCAGCCAGCAGTGAATAATGAGCTGGAAACACAGGCTCAAAAGCCTCTTTAATCCTCCCTAGGGAGACAGGGCGCAGCGCCTCACTTCAAAGCTGGGACAGGGACAGATGACTGCTCACATTCACCTGTCAGGCCTTTGCATGGGGCCTCTGAGCCAACATGGAAGTGCTGGTTTGAACAGCGGAGAGAAGAGGGATGCAGCCGAGCTGCTCTCTGAGCCAGGGAGCCTCAGAGCGGAATCCTGGAGCTACTGGCCAGGCCGAGCCCGGCCAGGGCGGGAGAACGTAGAAGGTACGCGTATCTGTATTTCTACCAGTGAGGGGGCGGGGGGGCAAATGGCCATTTCCGTTGCAGCTGTGCCTTTTCTTCCACTTACTGCTGGGCCCCGAGTACCCATGGTTTGGACACTGACAGTATCTTCTTTGAGGACGGGCCTACCTGGCAGTGCTCTGGGCCAGTCCTGGTGGTATGTGGTATGGCAAAGTGAAGGCCCAGCCAGAGGACATCCAGTGGTCCTCAGCAGAACACGAGGTGCCAGGTATCAAGCTTGGAGTCTGGCACTGACGAGGCATGTGCTCCCCAATGATACCCCTACCTCAAGTCCTAAACTTGAAAACAAGTTTTTTGATGGGGCCAGGAATCAAACCTAGGGTCTCACCCATGCCAAGTCCATTACTACTGAGCCACATCACTAGTATACTTTGCTATATTTCAAAGGCTCGGGAAAGGTTAAAATAAAGCTACCTTCAAAGACTAACCAAACCAAGAGCATGTCTATGCACTTGCCCTGGATCTCTCCTGGTGCCCTGTGAGGAAAGGAGTAAGTTCTTCATTGTAACATGGGGTTGAGACAGCTATGCAAGTGGTCCACGAACTTCAGTGACCAACACCGAGTCCTACCTGGGGCCCACTGAGGAAGCATCCCACCAGAGCAGGGCCAAAGTGCTTACGCTCTTTGGGCCTCTGACCCTCCAGAGGACAGGCCTGTGCCAGCAGGCGGCTGTGGGCAGGGCCCTCACCTCTCGCTCTCGTCTGCGGCCTTCTCAGCCTCCTCTAGCTTCTGCAGGGCTGTGGCCAGGCGCTCCTGGGCACGATCCAGCTCTTCCTCAACCAGCTGGATACGTCTGTTCAAGGAGGCCACATCAGCTTCCGCCTGGGAGAGAGAGAGGAAGGCAGGGTCGGAGGGAGCCTTGGGCAGTTCCAGGCAGGGAGGCCCCAGCCTGGCGGTGAGCTGCTGCCCAAGCCCAGGTCCACCGTGGGGTCCTCAGACAGTGGCCCATCCCTCAGACTGGAAGCACCACGTGTGTTCACAGACACATTCTCATGGAGCAGATGGACCACCAGCTGGGACCCCCATGCCCGGCTCTTTCCTTCTCTCCATACTTTCCTGTGCCACCATGCTCAGTGGCAGCTGCACTGAACCCTTCAGCTGTGTGGCACAGGCTGGGGTGGGGGGAGAGGTTGGTGGTTGGGGGGCGGGGGGAGGCCTCCTAGCGGAACTGATATATCTTAAAGTTTAGGAGTTCTGGAATATACAACAGAGGCACAGCCACCACTGTCCAGTGACTGTCCCTGCCCTTTTAGCGTATCTGATCCTGTGGAACAAGATCAAGACAGTTTCCCAGATGCTTCTAACAGGAGTCTATTGGAATGTCTGAGAAGTCAAGGTTACTACAAATTCCTTCGGAAGCAGCAGAGACGCAGTGCTTACTTAGTGTCTATCTCTGAAATACAATGTTTCTTTCTTGGGACCACAGTGACGACCCACGGTCAACCTATTGCCCTGAGCCTGCTAGGGCAGGCAGTTAGTCTTACATACTTGCTGGGTGAGTGTTTAAATACTAAGCATGGAAGTGAACTATGGAATTTATTTTAACTCCCTCCACCCATTAAATCTTTTCTTTTTAATTTTTGCTGTTTGGTCCAGATGCTTAGGGGTCAGTCCTGCCGGGGCTCAAGAGGACCACATAGGACGCTGGGGACTGAACATGGATTGTTGGCACGCAAGGCAAGCACTGTACCCACTATCTCTTTGGCCCTGAAAGATGGAATTTATTGACCCAGTATTACTTCCTCCTCCTCCTCCTCCTCACTGCTTTTGTGGGGTGCTGGAGATGCTGAACTCTCGGGACCTAAGCTAGTTCTCTACCCACCTACTGTCTTACTCACCTTTAAGCTCCATTTGTGCGTTTGGGGGTCCAGAGGTACTTGCAGAACATGACAGCAATTAGTGTCTATGGAACAAAATGAGCAGAACTACCCAACTGAATCAGTCCCTTTCTTAGCTTATGGATCCATGGTAGATATATACTAAGTGAAGAGCTGCAGTTATAGCTCTGAGCCAACAGAACATGAGAACACTCAGCTCTTGTATGATTTTCATGCCAAGATTCGTCTGGGAAAGAGGTGATGAGGACATCTCCAGCCATAATGAAGGACTCTAAAATTCATTCACGGATACTTTTATCTTGGCAAAAATTAACTATGTAATAATAAACTGTGGAAGAAGGCAGGAAGCAGGGGTAAGTGCAAAATGACTCTGAGAAGGAATTAATGCCAGCTCACCAAGTCCACTGTTCCCGGTGCCCAGACAGTCACAGGCTAGGCCACCGACAGCAGGGACCTGTTCAGGGGCTTTCAGAGGAGGGGCGCCCAGATTTAGGGATTATATGTTTGCTCTTGTTACTTTGGGCCATACCCTGCAGTACTCAGAGCTTAGTCCTGGCTCGATGCTAAAGGACTACAACCTAGTGGACCTTAGAATTGAACCCAGGAGAGCTACATGCAAGGCAAGTGTCCTATCCTCTGTACTGTTTCTCCAGACAAGGGATTATGTATTTAAGTGCAGAGATATGTTTTTCTCATCTGTGGTCCTTTTGTTTTCTTAATGAGAAAGGGTCCATTAAAGGCGCTCTTTTCTGTATTTTCTATTTCAAGTAAAATCCCACCTCTTTAAAATGAGAGGGAAATGAGGAAGCCAAAAAGAGCAAATGGCCCCTTAAAACTCCAGCACCAAGAACGCCTGAGCTGAATCCTGAGGTCATGTATTCGGCAGTCCGACCCCGTCCCGCCTGATTTTCCTCACTATGATTATTATTCTTAACCTGAAAGCAAATATCCTTGTTACAGGCCACAGAAACGTCAACAAGAGTCTCAAAACATGTTCTGCAGCCACCACCTTCACATTTCCTGTTCTGTTTCACTAGGGGCCTGACCTGGGGAGGCTCTGATCTTCCTGAACCTGCAGGCTGGGGGCCTTTGATGCATCTGAGGAAGAAAGAGACCCCTTTTCTGGGGCCAGGGCCCCACATTTATGCTGCTTTGACCCTTCGATCCCCAGACCCGAGAGGGACCCCACCATGTCCATCTCCTCTTTCACTGCCCAGCTCCGGCCCTGAACCCCGTGTCACTGCTTCAGGTCCTCTGACCACAATGACGGGCCAGTGCAGACCTGTATCTTGGGTCCACAGGGTACACAGAGACAGTTGACCAGCAGTGGGGGCAGGGGGTGGTCGGGAGTCAAATGGGGTCTCCAATGTTTAGCCAGAAGGGCTCCTGGGTACTGTCACAACTAGCTAGCTGCAGACATTGCCCTGAAAATAAAATTCCAGGCGCCATCCCTAGAGACTGTCTGCGAAATCAATCAGTAGCAGCTCCCACCCTCCCTTCAGCCAGAGCGGGGCCAGGCCTGTGGGAAATCGCTTTCTCAAAGGCACAGGAGTGGGCAAGGCCTTTCACCCAGGCGGCAGGGCTCCTCGGGCCACCGACTCGTCCAAAGCCCGCCTGCCTATGCACTCTCAGGCTTCCTCTCCCAGGGGTCCACCTCACTCACCAAGCAGGGGCAGAGCCCAAGCACGACTAGAATCATGTTTTGAACATCATGCATGTACTGCACCCCCCAGAATTCATTCTGAAATATGGCCCGGCTTCCCTGAGGAGCACTGATGGGGAACAAACACCTCTCACGAGGACAGCGCGTTCATCTCAACACGGAAGCCACGCTCCACCTGAGACGCTCCGGAGCAGAAGCAGCTCAGAGGCCTGGGGCTGAGAGCACCCTGCAAGTGGTTTCTGAGGGGGAACGCCTGTGTCCTCGAACAAAGTGCCCCAGGAAAGCACGTAGCACCCAGACTCTTCTCAGGTCTCGATGACCACCTGAGTGCAAGTCTGTCCCACTCTCTAGAATTCAGATACATCTGGCCAGAAACTAAGGGCATCTCTCCCACCATGCCTTCCCCTCCCCCCCCACATGTTCTTCAAGTTCTGACACCGACTGGGGTGTTTCCTAAGCTTCTCATCGCAGCACTACCTTGCGAGCTACACAGAAGACAAGCTGCCGCCGCAGCCCCAGGACCAGATGCTGCTGAAAAGGCAGATCTGAATCTGGGAAGGCTTGGAAGATTCAAGCCCAGGAGAGGCATATGCCTTCCTGGCATGGAAGCTGCATTCTGCAGATGAACTGGCTGAGACTCTGCGAAAAATGGCCCAAGCCAGGATGCTGCAGGAGTCTGTTAATTTCCAAGTGCTACTGTGTCCCTGGAGGTAATGAGCTGCTGAGGGAAGAGCCACTCAGCCTTCAGTGGGGTCCTGCGGCCCTCACTGTTTAAGTCCACCTGGGCTCCCAAGGGGCCTCCACCAGGTGCTAGGGACCTACAGGAAATAAACAGGGCGGGTGACGTATTTGTCACTGACCCACAAGGCATGGCACAGAAGGCAAGAGCACAATATCCCACCAAGCCACATTTTACAGAAAACTCAGACCAGGTCCAGCTTTTCATGAACTCCAGATGTTTTCAGCCACGTTAACAAGGAAAGTAAAACTGCAAAGTGGTATTGGTGTGGACTTAAATAACCATCCCCGTTGGGCAATTAAGAAAAACTAGTGGAAGACTAAGAATACAGCTGAAGAATGAATTGTCTACACTGTCTTCACAGGAAGAAAGTCAGGCTTTTCGTTTTCCAGCAAACTGTAGTGGTATATGAGGGTCCAACAAGTTGCTATATGAGGCCCAGTGACTGCAGCCAAGCCAACTTCCGCTCTTCCGTGTCAAGAAAGGGAGGGGGGAAAAAAACCCCACCAATGACATTTTAAGGGGCACTTTCAGGGATAATAGATAATCACAACCTCCTTCATCTGTGCCAGGGCCATGCCCGAGGCATATCTGTGTGATGAGGAAGAACGAACAGAAGCAGGGCTCTGAGGTGCCTCTGCTTTGTCTGCCTGAGAAATCGGAAACGGAGAGTGTAGATTGAGTGCCAACATGGGCCCAAAGTGCTCTCTCCCTCCCCAGTACTCAGAAAGTGACAGGGCTTTCAAGGGGGCAAGGGCCGGGAGTTTCTGTAACCAGGTGATTGATTTTTCCATTATTTAACAAACAGGGCAACCACGAATTCTGGGCCATGCTTTTTTCTCCCCTTGTCTCTGCTGGTTCTGCCCAGAAAGGACGGTAGAAGGCTGGCTCCTCCTTGCTTCCTTTCCCTCTTTGACCACAACCAAGAACACAGGCCCCGTGGGTCCCCCCGAGACAGAGTCAGCCATTTCACGGAGTGAGGCAGCCCCAATCCTACGCCGAAGAACCCCCACGCCCTCGGCAAATAAGAGTGACAGAGCAGTCTTGTTCCAAGGGGAGTGCCGGTTTATTAGCCAGTGAACCCCAGCCTCTCTGAACTCTGGAATCTGAACTGGGGGAAAACGCTTCAAGCCTCTTTCCTTTGCTCAGAAAAACTGGCCACTTTCACTCCCAACTCTCTCGACCCGACAACCACCAAGAAGCTGCTTCAGGGCTTGGGGGTGGGGGGTGAGGATACGGAAAAGAGGGTATGAGGGCATGCGGGACCCCCAAGCATCCCCAATTGCCTGAGAATTCCATGGGAGTGGCCAGGGGGTACTGCCAGGTAAGACCCCTTAGAAACGAAATTCATAGTCCAGCTTCACAAGTGGGAAGGACTCAAGAGTTCTGACCGGGACCACACGTTCTGTGTGCATCCAGTCAGCCGGACAAACTGTCCTCAAAAATGACTTGAAAAGACTTTAATTTACTGATATTTGGGCCACACCTGGTTGTTCTTGGGGCTCAAGCCTAGGGAGGCCCCAGCATACAAAGCTTGCACTCCCTGCTCTCTGTACTTATCACCTCCACCAACCCCCCACTT